CCCCCCCCCCTCCCTATTATTACACGCCCTATATATTATATTATAGTATATTGATAATCATTTATAGCCCGACCGACCTGCTCCTAGCGTCCCGGCCAAAGACAAGCGGGTGTCTCCTTCACCCCTATCTCCACTGTCCTCCAACCACAGCCAGACTTCTCGCGACAGCCTGATTGCCGCCGACGACGCTGCCATCTCCCAACAGCTGGCCAGCCAATTACGGGACGTTGACCTGTCTGAACCCAGCCCAAAGCCCAGAGCAGCCTACATGCCCAATTCACGCTCTACGCCCAACATCTACTCTTCCGACCGTGCCAGGAACACCCTCTCCCCCCAGCGTCGTGACCCGGAGGTCTCCTCTCTCTTCTCCAGTGACAAGGACTTCACTCACGTCCCCCGTCAGTATCACCACTCTCCCCTACGCCAGAACGATCACTCCGGGATGGCGGCCAGCGCCTCACTGGCCTCCCGCTACGAAGCCTCTCTCTCCTCGACCAGGACGGGCAACAAGGTGATGACGCCGGCTGAGTTTGAGAGATACCAACAACAGCAGGCCCAGAGACCTCCCAGCGAACCCAGTTCTGACGAGGAAGACGAGGTGGAGAGTGAAGACGACGAGGATGAAACCGAAAAGAGGAGACAGGCCGCCGCACAGAGGCAGAAGCAGGAAGCTCACCTGTCCGTTTACCGGCAGCAGATGATGAAGATCACAGGCGAACAGAAGAAGGCCTCGACCACCAATGATGCTGCCGCTAGCTCGGATTCTGTCACAGGTCTCGGCGCCGCCAACCCGAACCGCAGGTCGGTCCTCGACCCCATGGAGGCGGCCAACAACACTACAGCATCGACCTCTCCCGGTATATCTCCAGGCCTCTCTCCAGGAATTGGCCCATCGAAACTCTCACCCTCTGAGGGCGAGGAGGACGACGATGTGCCTCTCGGCATCCTCGCTGCCCATGGCTTCCCACACCGCAATCGCCCTCCGTCTCATCTCGCCGTGTCACATTCTAATCCCAACCTCAACGCCTCCTTCCAATCCGGATCAGCTTCGATTGCTGGCATGCAGGACGGCCAGTCCAAACGAAGCACCCTCCCTGTTTTCGCTCGAAACCTGCCTAAAGACCCCTACTACGGCTCCAGTCTTGTCAACCCGTCACACCGTGAGTCTCTTGCTCTCGGCGGTGGCATTCCGGGCGTGAACCTCAATACAGTAAACCTAGGACCGCCCGGTCTTCCTCCAGGCGGCCTTGTAGGTGTCATCGCGTCCGAAGAACGAGCCCGCGCAATGCGTCGTGGCAGTCCCAACGCGCAGGGTGGATATGACATGTCCACGCCGCAGGTTCACACCAATTTCCTCGCTCCGCAACCCCAGATGCAGATGGGCGGCCTGCTGGGACAACTCCAGCAACACCAGCAGGCCCAAGCTGGCCTGATGAGCGGCATGCATAACAATGGTCTAGTTGGACAAGCCGGAACTGTCAATCCACACAATCACCATCACCCGTTCCCCCAGGCCGGCAGTGTCGGCGGTCCCGCCGACCAAACTCAGATGCAAGTCTCACAACAAATGACAAATATGATGCAGATGCAGATGCAATGGATGCAACAGATGATGCAAATGCAAGGCGCACAGGGCCAGGCGCCAAATCCCGAGCCTGAATGCAAGCGCGTCCTCCCTCCTACAGCCACCGAACCCGAGCCAGAGGGCGGTTCTTCGGATGGGTTTCCAGTCCATCTTCAGTTTCGCGGACCACCACAGGTCGACCACCGAACGCTCAGCATGCTCGACCCGTCCTCGGCCACCGCCGCATGGGCCGGCGGCCATACGCCAGCAAACCGCGCTTCGTTCCTGATGACGCCAGATATGGGCGGCCCTTCTCTCGGCATGGCACCAGGCTACGCCCCTTCCGTCGCACCCTCGGAGCGTAGCAACATTGGCGCAGCGTCGAGATACCGCCCCGTATCGACGATCGCACCACAGGCCAACGGGGCCCATCGCTCGTCAACCTTCACTGCCACGACGTTGCGGCCATGGGCGGAAGAGCGACCGGCGCCCCTGGTCCAGTCAGCCGCGAACAAGTCGAACACAAATCTCAGCACCATGACCCCCTCGACGACAGAGACGACTCCCACAGTCCGTCCTGTCAGCTCCATGTTCCGTCGTCTGTCGCCCATGCTAGGTGGAAGCAGCGGTCGCACCTCCGTAGCCGGCATGCCAAACTCCGGCCCAGGCGACGAGGACGACGACGAGCAAGGATGGGCTGAGATGATGAAGAATCGCGAAAAGAAAAAGACTGGCTGGAAGTTCAGACGTCATGGCGGCGAGAACTCGGGTTCCCTGGGCGACTACGTTCATCCCACCGCGATATAAACCCAGCACACAGTCAACCAGTCGACGATGTCTCCTTCTTTCAGCCGCCGGACGGACAGACGGACGGTAGTATGATATGAGATGCGATGAGATAAAAGATGAGATGACGTGAAGCGTATTGGAGAGGTCGATATATACCTTCTTTTTTCCTCCTCCTTTCGAGTACGTTATTTTTTGCTTGGAAATACACATAAAAAAATCTCCTGTTCATGTATCTTCAGCTCAAGCTGTTCCCTTCCCTTTACCCCCTTTTCGCCCCCTTCACTCTGATATCTCGTTTTAATCATCTTGCTTCTTTCTCGGCGTTGCATTTCTTATATATTATATTTTTTGATATTTATTCCCCCCCCCCAATCCCTTTAATTGCCTACAACTACATCTACTACTACACGACCGGCCCGTCAAAAAAACGAACCAGAACCAGAATTCCCCATTTCGAGCAAGCAATGTACGGATACTAGCTTAATCTTTCCAACTTGATCTCTGTTTTTTATTTCCCTGTTTCCTCCTTGTGTGTTGTGTTTCTTCCTGGCGTTCGATATCTATTCTTCAGAGCGGAGTTACAGCGGGTTCTAATCATTAAATATAATATTCATGTGAGTAAAAAGAAAGAGACACAAGCGATCATCAAAAAAGAAAAGCATGGAAATAATTCTCATCTCGACTTGGTCACTGGTTTTGGGAATCAATCGCATTTGACCAACTTCCTCGCCGCCTCTCTGGCCTTGCAGAGGATGTCCTCCGCCTTCTCAACACTCCTGACCAGTCCTACTCCCGTCCCGGCATACGAAGTCATCCTGCCCCTGACCCCCCAGCCAGCATCCCCCCTGAGCTTCTCGGCCTCGTACAGCCTCTTATTCTCCCCGTCATCCATGCCCGCCTGTTCATCAACGTAGCTCTGATTCACCATTCCACGCCCGTCATACTCCCCAGGCCACTCCACATACCCTCGTAGCCGATCATATACAGTAGTGCGCACCGTGCTCTGGCCCCCATCCCTCGCACGTAGCAGCTCATCCTGGTACCCCTTCGTAATAGCAGTCTGGGAGCAAGCCAGGAAGCGAGTCCCCATCGCCACACCGTCTGCCCCCAGACACAAGGCGGCAGCTACACCGCGTCCGTCAACGATACCGCCCGCAGCTACGAGAGGGACATCTACCCCCCTCTCAGCCAACGTATCACGCACCTCGGGCAAAAGCGTGATTATTCCCGCTCCGTTCTTGAGGCCGTGGCCACCTGCGTCTGCGCCCTGCAGGACAAGCACGTCCGGCCTCGAGGATGGATCGGGCATGTCTGCCGTCATCCGCAGGGCGTCTGCGACGCATCCGACCTGGACCCAGACCTTGGTGCGTCCTTCGGTCTCTGCATGTACGCGCGTGATCCACGATGCGTACAGGGAGGCCATGTTTTCTCTTGCTGCGCCAAAGAGCCATATTGCTGCCGGAACGTGCTTTTTAATAGCGGGTACTGCATCTTCGAGGTTGACGCCCCAGTTTAAGAAGCCTACTCCTACAGGTAGGATGTCTGGATGTGTTTTGATGCCGGCTTGCTTGTGTGTTGTCCGGAGATGCTCTGCTGCCAGCGAGAGTTGGGAGTCGAGAGCGTCGATGTTGTTTCCTAGCCCGATGAAGCCGATTCCTTGGGCTGCAGAGACGGCGGCGGCTAACTCGCCGGTTGCAACTGGTAGCATGGGCGGGCATACTATGAGTGGAAGCTGGATCCAGGGGTAGTCTTTCTTCAGGGATGACATCTTGGGTATCTTGCTGGTAATGAAGTAGCTATTGTATAAAGAGTTATGTATACCAGCAGCTGTGGAAGCCTTTATAATGTCTTCGAGCTGACGGAAACCCGGCGAGCTGCTTGTCTGCGAGATGAGATTGATAATACAGACGGCATCTCTCCGAGCTCTCTGTCTGGGTTCCACCGTTGCTGGCCTCGGCCGGTGAGCTGCCGTCGCTCAGCCTCTTACGGGACCAGATACGGCGTCAACTGTTGTTTCTCGCGCGGCTGAACGGTCGATGATGATCCGATGAGAAGTCGTTGATATATTATGACAGCGCAGTCGATTCAATTACATACTATATGGCCAGCAACCGGCTAGCAACTCAAGTTATACTGCTGAATGGCCAAATGTATAACGCCTATGGACGAAGCACTAAGACAACAGCATGAGTATATACCAAGCTAATGCATGAGATCTTCCTCTACCGTACTTCCTCTCTGTATGTGTCCTGTGTTTTAGTGCCTCCAGATGTTCTGCTCTGTTAGAAGCCCATCTCAGCCACTACACAGCACTCGACATATACCCTGTATCAGCAGTCACCGTATCTATCCCATTAACTCTTCATGATCCACTATATATCCTTATATACATCTTTATATCATAATAACATCTTTATACAAAACTTCATCTTCAAGTCACGTCATGTGATCTGACTCAGCAAATCTTCATCGTTAAAAAAGCAACTTTTGATCTTTTTCTCTCTTACATCAACTTATTATACAGACAGCAGAGACAGGCAAATAGTGAAAGAAGCACATCTTATACCTAGAAGCAGTACTGATAGTTATCAAGAGAGAAGAAGGAACCACACTGAGCTCTCACCAAGCCATCTTTTTTATAAGCATTTAGTTTATATTTCTGGATCCTGAGCCAGTTTAATACCCTTCGTCTGTCCTTAGTTATCTTGTTATTCCTCTTGCTCTGCATTCCTGGTTCTGCATCTCCTATTCTTGCTGCGGTTTGCCCGTCCCGTTGGATAAAAGCCGGGGCTTCCTCCCTATATCGACGCCCCATCCCCAGCGGAAGGGCAGTCTTTACCAGGTGTCCAGTCCTTCTTCCGTTGATATCCCTTAAACCACAGCAAAATGAATGCTCCAGATAGGTAAGGGACAGTCTTCTGCTCATATATTTGAAGATGTAGTGATATCCCTTCTTTTCTGCCCCCTTATATATGCCATGAAATGCCATTAAGTCTGCCATAAGCTATGGCTGTCCTCTTTCTGTCCATCCTCTGCTTGTTCATGGATCTTCTGTCGTCGCCGATTTTATGCCAGTCACTTTATATATCTTCTGCTTTCTCTTCTTCTTCTTCTCCTTTTTCTTCTGCCATGAACACTTTTGTTGTATTCTCCCTTACAAGATCTACACCTTTGTCAAGATGTTGGAAGAAGAAGGCAAGACAGGAGATGGCTTCTTCTTTGACCCTTCTAGCGCGAGCTACCGCCAAAACCCTTGTCGTACCCAGATTCGCCCTCAAAAAGACATGATTCCGAGGTTGGACCTTGACTTTGCTGTTCTCTTGATTTTTCATCCACGTACGCGTGCAAAAGATGGCTCTTCTAACTAAATACAGATTCGAGTCGTTCGTCCTCGGGCCTGGAGAGAAAAAGGTCGAAATCGAGGTTGATACTCGTGGGTTATGTTGACTCTCTCAGGAATATACCGTCTTCTAACAACTTCGCCAGGCGTTCCCTCCACCGCCATCTTTACGTTCAACAAGGAGGACCATACTCTGGGCAACATGATCCGAGCCCGTCTCCTTCAGAGCCAGCATGTCTTGTTCGCTGGATACAAGGTATGCTCAGGCCCTGACCCCGCCAACATATGATGATATTTACTTACTCCGGCAGATCCCGCATCCACTTGTGCACAAGGTGCTCCTCCGCGTCCAGACTGATGGCCAAATCACCCCCAAAGACGCCGTTCTCACTGCCTGCCACGAGCTGGTCAAGGATCTCGGGACGTTCAGCCGTGAATTCACCAAGGAGTACGAACTGCGCAAGATGGTCGGCGCTGGCGCTCAGCAGCATGACGCACCCAACGGAGTTTGAAGCTGTCACTCTTCTTTACACTTTTCTTTACAAACGGGATGTGCTTACTTGATGCATGTGGCTGGGTCTGTCGACCTGCCTCTTTACGGATGATGATCAGTTTGTTCACGGTGTCCATGGGAGGGGTTAAAGCGGTTTTCTCTACTTCTACCTAGCTCTCTCTAATACCAGTTTTTTTCTCTTCCTCTGTTCTCTCATCGTTGATATAAAAAGTGACAGCGCCAAGACTCTTCAGGCGGCGTCAAGTTTTGCCGCTTTTGGAAGAAACCAACGTCAGCCCCAAAAGTCGAAGAATCACGAAGTTATTAACAAACAACAAGAACAGCTTCAACTCAACGCTCCTTTCTTTTGCTATATTCCCTGCTTGTTTTCTTCTGCTTCGTCCTCTTTTGCGATTGTTAATTCTTAATAAACCCCCTTAATTGTCCTTCGTGCGCTGGTGTAATGTATTCGTTTCCTACCGGCCAGCCGGGCCAGCAGCAGCAACAGTATGGCAGCCAGCAACAACAGCAATATCCTGGCTTCCAGCAGCAGCCTCAGCAGCAGCAGCAGCAGCCTGGGCCTTTCATGCCTCAACCGACTGGCTATGGCATGCCCCAGATCCAACCCCAGGCCACCGGTTTTCCCGGCGCTATGCAGCAGTCCCAGCAACAGGCTCCCCCCTTTCAGTCCTCTCTCCAGCCGCCGCAGATGACGGGCTACCCTACCCAGCAGACGACAAGCTTGCAGGTTCCGCAGCCGACCAGCCAGGCACCACAGCCTACCGGCCAAACCTCGTCGCAAATGGCGCAGTCGTTTCAGAATATTCCGGGCCAGGCTCCCGCTGCTCCCCCACGAAGTGCGCCTGCCGGCTCGAAGATACCGCCTATGCGCCTCTCCTTTATCACGGTGCAGGACCAGGCGAAGTTCGAACAGCTTTTCAAGTCAGCAGTCGGGGATTCACAATCGTTGGATGGTGAGTGCGGTTGGAGGGGTGCTGTATAACATAGTTGGGGTTGACATTTTACGGTATAGGTGAAACGGCGAGAGATCTACTGCTAAGATCTAAACTGTCAGGCAGTGAGCTGTCTAAGATATGGTATGTGCTGGTGAATTTCGATTTGATCTCCCTTCCAGTGCGCCTGGTTAACAAGTCTACAGGATGCTATCGGACACTACGAAATCAGGCCGCCTTATGTTCCCCGAATTCGCACTGGCAATGTACCTGTGCAACCTCCGAATAACGGGTCGCGATCTACCTGCCACCCTACCTGACCGGATCAAAAACGAAGTCTCAAGCATGGTTGACATTATCTCCTTTGCTGTACCGGACGATCACCCGCCGCAGGTCCCGCGATCGAACGCCCCCAACTTTGACCAGCCATTGTTGCAAAATACCTCCGCCCCTCCTGCACCACAACAGCCACAGCCACAGCAGGCTTCTAACTCACAGCTTCTCTCGCAATTAACTGCTCAACCAACTGGTTTCTACAACCAGGCAACAGGCTTCCAGCCACCAAGTGTCATGCAGCCCCAGCCTACAGGATTTCCCGGTGGTCTACGGCCCCAGCCGACAGGTATGCCGCAGAATCCCCAGGCGACGGGATATTCAGGTCCACGACCTCCAATGCCTCCCATGCCAACTGGATTCGCCTCTGGTTTGGCCCCTAGCCAAACTGGTGCTGCCCCGTTAACTGCACAGCCGACAGGGATGCCTGGCCAATGGGGATTTGTTAATGCTCCAGCCACAGGATTACCAAACATTGAAGCCCTTCAACAGAGACTCATGCCACAGCCCGGAAGGGAAGGCGGATTTACCACTGCAGGGATCTCTGGAAATGCCACAATTCCATGGGCCGTTACCAAGGATGAGAAGAAAATCTATGATGAACTGTTCCGTGCCTGGGATGGTCTTGGGAAAGGCTTCATTGGTGGTGACGTTGCCATTGAAATCATGGGCCAAAGTGGATTGGAACGCCAACATCTGGAACAGATATGGACCCTTTCAGACCCCAATAATAGAGGTCGTCTGAATAAGGACGAGTTTGCCGTAGCCATGCATCTTATATACAGAAAGCTTAACGGCTATCCTATTCCCAACAGGCTGCCTCCTGAGCTAGTACCGCCGTCTACTCGTAACCTTAATGATTCAATTGGAGCCGTGAAGTCGATGCTTACCCAGGATGCAGAAGCTAGAAAATCTTCCGGCGCATTCTTGCAGCCCCAGAAAACGGGTGTCAGTTATTTGAAGACACACTCGTTTAATTCGGGGTCAGGCGGTGCTGGATATGGCAGGAAAGATGCCACAGTCTTCAAAAACAACGATGATGCTATTGGCTACAAGTCTAGTGCCCGCCGCCGCATTGGCGCTGGTCGTACCCCGTCGCCTTCCCCCTCTGCACAGTCAGAGAGGTCTGACGATGACATGTCCGTAGAGCAGCTGAAGAAGAAAATCCGCGAAACCAAAATTATGCTTGATGCTATAGATTTCAGAGACGAGAACCATGCCGAAGAAGAACAGGCATTGGACCGCCGAGACAGGAGGGAGGCAGAGTCTCTCATGGACAGAATCCGAAGGGTTCAAGATGACATAGATACCGATCCAAAGGCCTCCTTCCGAAACCTGGACTCTAGCGCTGAACGCCGTAGTATGCGCCGTCAACTACAGACTTACCAGGATCAGTTGCCTGAACTAGCTTCTAATGTACGCAAAACCGAACGAGCTATTGCGGATTGCAAGCTTGAGCTCTTCAGGTTGAAAGATGCCAAGGAAAACCCAGGAAGCGCCTTGGAGATTATTGGTACTGGTCCAGGCGGCACAATCACTGAGAGTGATCGTATCAAGGCTCGTGCTCGTGCGAGAATGCAGGCTAGAGCTGCAGAGTTGGCGGGCCGACCTTCACCGGCCGCTGCGGATGAAGGTGCTGCTGCTCGCAGGCTGGAAGAGGAGAGAAGCAAAATTAATTCTGAACGTGAGCGTAACGATGCCATGACTAGGGATGTCGAGGAGAGTGTCAAGGAATTCTCAGCCAGCCTTGAGGACAGCCTCAAAGGCGAAGATGAGAATTCTACTCGTGAACATGAACGACGGCGTTGGGAGGAAGCCCTTGGCGTGGAAGACCAGATTAGAGATCTTATCTATGACCTTCAGCGCAATCGTAAGACGGCAAAGATCAGAAAGGAAGAGTTAGTAACCCCTTTTTTTGCAGCTTTGTATTTTCATCAAGTTAACCCGTTTATTACAGAGAGAAAGCCGGCCGCTCAGCGAGCAGTGCAAATCAATACGCAAGCCTGCCTGAGCACCAGTCGAGGCCTAGCCCTGAACCTCGCTCTTCATCTCAATCGCCGTCGCTCGTTGGAACTACGCACGAGCAGAGAGTGGCTGCTGCCAGAGAGCGAGCTCAACGCCGCATCGCCGAACGGATGGCTGCAGCTGGACTCAAACCTGCTGAGTCCGGCGAGTCTTTCATGGAACGACAAGAGCGTGAGAAGCGGGAGAGAGAAGAAAGGCTTCAGCGTGCCGAAGAAGAGGATGCTAAGCGCGAGCAGGAAAGGCAACGGAGGCTGGAGAGTGAGCAGGCCCCTGCTCCTCCACCTGCTAAAGCTGGGCCAAAGAAAGCGCCTCCACCACCTCCCTCCCGAAAGGCCAGATCAGATTCTACAGAGCAGAATGAGGCGAGAAAGGCTGAGGAAGCGCTTGCTATTAGAGCTAAAGAAGAGCAAGAGGCCGCTCTCAGGCAAGAGCAGCAAGCCCAAGAGGCAGAAACGGAGCAGCTAGAGTAAGTCTTACCACGAAGATTTAGCTACCTATCTTTACTAACAGTACACTCTCTAGGGACGAGACAAGAAGACAAGAGGAAGAACTTGCACGCGAAAAGGAAGCGGCTCAGGCTCGCCTGAAGGCGTTGGAAGAGCAGGTCCGCCAGGGCAAGATCAAGAAACAGGAGCAGAAGCGCCGCAAACAACAGGCTGAACAAGAAGCCAGAGAGAAAGAAGCCAAGCTTGCCGCACAGCGAGCTGAGTTAGAGGCTGCACAGGAACGAGAACGCGAATTGCAACGGCAGCTGGAGAGCCTTGGTGATGAGGAATCGTCGTCTGATGATGATGGCCCTGAGTTTATTACTCCTCAGGATACTACGCCTACTCAAAGCCAAGTCTTTGACCAGCCAAGGGCTTCAATTCCTTCTCCTCCGCCGGCAGCGCCACCAGTGCCTATCCCTACGATCACACATGAGGAATACCCAGAGGAACCAATACGTGTTCAATCTCCCGACCCTCTCGTCGAGCCAGTCATGATAAAGCCCATCATCCCTGAGACTGAGTCAAGGAACCCCTACTTCCGCCAACTCAGCCAGTCGTCTTCTGAACCTGCGCCTGCTGAAACACCAGCACCGGCTGCCCAAGACACTCAGTCAACTAACCCATTCCACCGCCTTGCTCAAGATAACGCCAAATCCGCATTTACAACTGGAACTGCTGCCCTTCCCGGTCCCCTCGAGCGTAAATCGCGGGCTCGTCCTGAAGAAGACGATGACTGGTCTGTGGCCGAGTCAGAGAACTCGTCTGACGAGGAAGACGACCGCGCCGCTGGTGGAAGTGCTAAACACTTAGCCAGCATTCTCTTTGGAACTATGGCGCCGCCTCGCCCTCTAAGCGCAATGGACGAACCACAGGACTCGAAAACACCTACACCACCACCAGTTCAAAGCCCAGTGGCACCCCCTCCAGCCCCTCCCATGCCCGCTCCCCCTCCCCCAACTGAGCAGAATCACGAAGAAGAAGCACCTGAAGCACCAGCCATGCCTCCACCTGCTCCCCCGCTCCCCAATATGGGCGCCCCATCAGCTCCTCCTCCACCGCCGCCACCTCCTCCAGGCGGTGCTCCTCCTCCCCCTCCGCCGCCGCCACCCCCTGGACCCGCTCCCGGTCCCGGAGCCGGAGGTCCAATGGGTATGGGACGAGGCGCATTGCTAGGAGATATCCAGGCAGGGAAAGCACTGAAGAAGGTCGTTACGAAAGATCGAAGTACGGCAATGTCAGCAGGACGTGTATTGTAAAGTGCTCAAATGTCTTGCGCTTGAATGGATACTTTTTGCAACGCTTCTGACCGAACAGTTGAGATATTCTCCGTTCGTTTAATTGATGTATTTCCTTCTTGTCCATCGTTTTTGTTTATTATAGTTAGTTGGTTCTGTTAATATACTTGCATTGGAAAGAATAAACTTGTTGTTACTGTATTTTTGCTGCCTCCCTGTGGACATATAACATTACTACGAACGTTGTTCTATTCCACCATGACCCCAATGTAGTATTAATATATCCGTGTATTCTACAATTCATCTTCCATATGTATGATGTACGGTTAATTTGCACCTGCAAGGGTAAATAACACCATATTATAGAGTAGAGCAATAAGATATAGATGCGGGAAGTCCAAGAAATTAAAGAGTAGATAAAATAATATCATATACTATAGAAACGAGTGTGAGCATCAAGACAGTATATAAAGAAGACTCCATAAACCAAACGCCATTATGAAACCAGTTCAAGAACAACATTAATGACCGTGCTCATACACCATATAGTAACCAGTCCAAAGCCAACATTCCGGTCCATGCGCCACTTGTTCAACGGCACAACAATAAGTAATCCAATTAAAGTGATCAGCAGCGTTGCAGCGCTGATAATCAGTGTTTTGGACACTGAGATAGGGTACGGCTGCAAAGTCGCCCATGCATTGGAACTGCTCGTAGAATACATGTTCTGCTCTGACTGCAGAGTCATATATAACCCTCCTACACCAATGCCTATGAGTATGTTCAGCATCGGGCCGCCAAAACAGGCACTTAATGCCATTACCGGATATCCCAAGCGTGCGATGGTGACGTTAGCAACAAGGTCACCTAGAGAATTGCCAACGGCAAATATCGTGAGGCCTAGTAGCGAGTCACTGATATTAAGAACTACGCCGAAAAGCTTAAGCAAGGCAACGACCTCCGTGGCTAGAGTTGAGACCCATGCAATTGCAACGGCGAAACCGATGAAGGCGATAAATGGTCGAAGGGGCTTAGGGGGTTTTTCAGAAGAGCCTTTGGTGGTGAACAGGAGAATTATTGTGAAAACGGAAGACATAAGTAGGGATAGAAGCGCTGGCAATAGCAAGGTGCGAGGATTATGATCTTGGCTCAGGTTGTTCCAGAACGTTAGAGTGATGAAGAATGGCGCAGTATATAGTTGGAATAACAAGAGCCATCTGTTCCATTGTTTGACGGGAGATTCATCCTTGCCATTGCATTCCATATATGGTGGATGGACCGGTAGTTCAGAATCTTGCCGAAGGCGATTGATAGTGGGTCGGACGAGTGATTCTGGGCTAGTTTCAACTGTCTCATCATAGTAGCGAGGGGCTGTAGTTGACGGCGTTACATCCGGACCACTTCCTCCTGGCTGGTGTTGAATTGTCACTGTCGGCGTTTGCTCTGGAAGATGAGGGACAGCAGGAACCTCGGGTTCAGAGCTTTCAGTTTCTACAACGGGCAAAGTAACTGTCAGGATAAATACACTAGGTGCGGCCGCAACCCCTAGAAATTTATCCCATATAGATTTATCTCCCCAGTTGTAGAGGGTTGGGAAAAGAGCCGATATAAAAACGTCGGGAAAGGGTAGGATAGAACGTGGCCACCACTTTGGGCCAGAAATTTCAACATCGGTGCCCGCAGACTGTGCTCGTGTGTATTCTGAGTTCAGGGACTGAGTAGACCTTTGGAACCGGAGGCTGGAAGGACCATGAGGGGTATAAGTGGTCTCATCCGTATACGGAGGAAATGGAGTAAGTGATCCGGAGCTATTTGGGGAGGAATCGCCTCCGTGAGCCTGTGGCGTTGTTTGGGGAGAGATTGAGGATAGAAGTGAAGGTGAGTGCCCCAGCTCGTATGTTGGCTGCTGGAAAATAGTGCGAGGAGGAGCTAATCGATTTGGTGATCTGGACCGACCAACGGAGAGGGCAGGGCTTTGAGACCGAGAGGGATAACCCGACGAAGTAGGCGATGCACAGAGTAAATTCGGGCGATGTTCTTGATGTGCTCCTGGAGGGTTATCCAGGCTCTGAGACAGTATGCGTGGTTGTGCGGAGGTGGGAGAACCTGCCGGGCCTATTCTCTCATCGTCATGATAGGAATAAAACTGTGGACGCTGAGTTGTTGAAGCCCTCGGGCGGGCTGTTCTCGGGTTTGTAGGAGCGAAGGGGTCATCGGAGTAGCTTCGTAAGTGAATTTTACCAGATTGAAGGCTTCTTGATTTCTGCAAAGATGAGAGAACTGATCTGAACTCCAGAGCACCAACCAAACTTGGCCGGATACCCCCACCAGTAATCATTCTCTGGCTTGTCGGCGGTCGATTCACTCGCATATTCTCATGGAGCTCTGCTAGCTGCTGCCTATCCCGCGATTCTTCGTCGTCTTCATCCTCAACTCTCAGAGTAGGGATGCCTGCTCTTTCCAGAGTTCCAAAGTCGTCATTAGTTGCGCCTAGGAGAGGACGGTGTTCACCGCCAGCGATAGGATCATCATCCTCTGGTACCTCGTTAATCTCCAGTTCTTGGTTTTGGGGGATATGAAAATGAGCGCGAGCTGCAAGGTCACGCTCCAGTTTTTGTCTCTGTCGGCCCATGTACCAGTGCCAGGTGACGACGACGACGACATAGAAAATATAAAACCCGATCATTGCAGCGCATTCCCAGGCTTGGAGTTTTCCGTCCGCAACAAATCCCATGCTAAAACCGGTAGCGAGTGTAAAAAAGACAATATCACGGACAAAGCTTCGCCTAGCGACTCTAAAGGGCCTGGTGAGTGCCATAGATCCCGCAACCACGGCAGTTATAAACCCAGCGGCACCAATGAGCTCGCCTATAGCCAGGCTCCCACTGTTAGAGTTCATGGCAGCAAAGGTAGAGAACACGTCCGGACTCCCGTTTCCAAAGGCGAGAAAAGTCACACCGGTCAAGCTCTCGCTCATCCCAAGGATATTGGCGATCGTACTCAGGTTGACGCATAGGAAGTCGCTGGCGGCGATGCCAACAGTGCTAAACAGCATCCCGAGCCATGCTGCTAGCACGGCGAAACCAAGCGGCTTCGCACCACCGAGCGAGCAATAATAAATCTCCAGGTACGAAATGAGGCCGATGTTCTCGTCCTGGCAGTTATCTCGAACAAAGGCACACTGGTCCCTAGCCAGGTGGACCAACCTGCACTATAAACGATTCAAGATCTAATCAGTCACCAGGTAAGGCGTATAGAAATGGCTGGATCTACCCATACCTCCTTTATATGCTCTTGTACAGTCAAGTCCAGTGTGCTCGACACAAAGGACCTTCGACTGATCCTGATAGGGAGTCGCCTTTGGACGTGGGGAAGCAAACGGCTCCCAAGCGCCAGGACAAGGACGGCCAATATCACAAGATAGAACGCTCGAGCTGAATATCGTTTCCTAGACCTGCGGGCAATCTCAGGCCCAGCGGAAAATGTGTTTGGAAGGCTCATTGTGAAGTGCGCATTATGTGTAAGGGGGCACGCGAGTATACATGCACCTTGGGTCCACAAGCCGATAAAGGAACAAACGGTGGCTGCATAGGCAGGAGTCGAGGCACAGACAGGTCTTTTATCGTGAGGCGGTTATAATGTCTCCCCTGTCGCATCAAAGGCCCCGAGGCAACATTATATTCATGGGCAGAAAACCCTTCTTTACCCCCTTGCCAATGTGTGGCTGTTCGATCGTGACTTTGCAAGTTGATGTTTTCATGATGTAAAAAGTTGAGATAAGGTTTTATCGCTGATGTAATACGAGATGCATGTACTATCTATAGAATGTTTGCATACTTTGATCTGTTTATACTGTTTGCATCATTATCTGCTTAATAAATAGCCTCCGGTATTATATTAATACCCGTCCGAAGTCACGTGGGGTTCGTCGGACATATCATCAAGGATAAAAGACGGGCCGAAATATTACATAATAACTTATCTAATCAAAACTGCGCAGGTGGTCTACCCCGCACTCCGTTTGTTTATTATGTTGGCTGAAAAAAAGCATCGAAAAAGCGCGTTTGATAAGACGAAGAAGACGAAGAAGCAGATAATCATCAAGACGTTTGCGTTGTGGAATGACTACGACACTTTCCAAAGACATAGTTACCGCCCCATAATGGTTGTATAACTCCTCGAATACCTGTTCACCCCATTGATAGCCTACGACGACGTCGAGAACCGCCCACGATGCCTCGAGTCGCAAACCCTCCAGTCAAGAGCCGTCATGGCCGTGGCAGCTCGAAGTCGGCGGGTAGTACTACGCCTCACAAAAATACCCCTAGGAAGTATGTCTTCACCTATTTCCCTCGGCTGTGACACATCCTATAGACAGTTTGAAAGGAGTTTCCCGTATGAATAAGTGCGCGAGGGGGGGGGAAAGTACCACCATGGAGATGAGTTATACAGAGAGCTAACAGCGATGGTTTGCGCACTGCGCACTTGAAAAATGCTATAGAATGCCCCTTAACGATGATGCTGGGGAAAAGGTTGCACGTCTACATTCCCGCCAGGCGCAGTACGACCTCCAAATGGATCAGATCAAAGCGGCGGTAAAGACGCCGATGCCCCCGCGCAGATTTAACAACTACGACGGAGTATCCGACAGCCCGCGCAGCCCTCGTGGATCAGTCAGGGGGAGAGAGAGTGATGTTGACCCCTTTGGCCGGGCAGTGACGCCAATGAAGCGGGTGCCCATCTTAGCCAACTTTGAAGAATGGATGAAAATGGCGACGGATAACAAGATCAACGCTGCAAACTCGTGGAATTTCGCCCTCATTGACTATTTCCATGATATGTCCCTGCTAAAAGAAGGCGACGGTGTCAATTTCCAAAAGGCAAGTTGTACGCTGGACGGTTGCGTCAAGATTTATACCAGCAGAGTGGACAGCGTTGCGACTGAGACCGGGAAACTCTTGAGTGGATTGGCAGATAGTGGAAATAAGAAAAATCAGGGCGAGAGAGATGGTGGAGGTGAGAATGGAGAAGATGATGATGACGAAGAGGAGGGAGAAGAGGGAGAAGATGAAACCAGACGGAAGACACGAAAAAAGGTTGGCCAGCCTCTGCAACCGGACTTGATATATCCGTTACTCACCTTGCACTTCACAGGCTCGATCCCATGAATCCACGCTGGCGCCCTCATTTGCTTCTCTACAACTAAAAAAGTTTGAACTGGAATTCTCTGTGGACCCTCTATTCAAAAAGGCATCCGCGGATTTTGATGAAGGTGGCGCCAAGGGTCTACTTTTGAACCATCTATCAATTGACGGTCAAGGAAGGATTGTCTTCGACAGTAGTGATGATGCCAATGCCACGGCTGATTCAGAAGCACAGAATAAAAATAACGAGGAAGGCGGATCCAAGTCCCCATCTCCGAGACCAGGTACATCTGATTCCAATGATGACTATCTGGACGTCGATATCCGCGGTCTTGCCGAAAGATTTTTCCCTAATCTCGACGCTCTATCTGACCACGATATCTGTCCCTCGCTGAAAGATTTCGACCTGGGTGACCCGAGCGGATCTCTCGAAATTCCATTTTTACGTGCTCCGGAAGACTGGAGGCAAGATAAACAGCTGTCGGAGCAGCCAGGGCTCGGCGATGCATCCGGTATCGTACTGGATGATGATATGGCCATTGGGTTTGATGACGATGACGATGCCACAATTACTGGATTCGATCTTGGTGGAGATGCTGAGTTCGGGCAAGGTGGTGAAGCATGGGCACGAGACGCAGCCCTAGAACCGATGTTGAAAGTGCACCGCATTAGCAGCATAGGAGTTGGTGGCGGTGACCATAACGATACAACAGTGGATTTTGATAACACAGAGAATGACCCTTTCGCCTTGTCCCTTACACATGGAAATGGAAACCATGATCATGACAATATCCTCAGCTATTTCGACAATGCCCTACGCAAGGACTGGGCTGGCCCTGAACATTGGAAGATTCGACGAGTGAAAGATATTACCTCCGCTGCCGGAACTGCTGCTCCCAGGCAGCGCAAGGAAAAGGAGCCCTTTGAGATAAATTTCGCCTCTGATCTCGATCCTGCAGTTGCAGAACTAATTTACACAACCTCAAGTTCGAACTCTGCAATCTCACTACCGAAATCTCAGTGGAAAACCAAGGGCAGAAATCTGTTGCCTGATGATAAACACTTCAACTCTAGGGAACTACTCCGCCTCTTCTTAAAGCCCAAAGCTAGGATGGGGCTGCGGGGAATCAAGAATAACAATCGCTCCCGTCAAAATGACACATCCGGCCCTAACAATGGCGAGATGGATGAAGCCTTCTGGGCATCACAGAAGCAAGGCATGGACCAAGCAGCTAACGACGAAAATGCGGCCCAGGGGACTTACGATGCTAACTTCTTCGCAGACGACGATGGCCTTGCTTTCCCACATGGCCTGCCACTGGGTGACGATGATGACGACGATAACATACCTTTTGCCGATGCTCGGGAGACATTCTCTCCTCCGCTGGACTCAGACGCACAACCCTCGGCCTCTGCGGGTGGTATGACCGGCCTCAACGCACTTTTAAACAGCGTTGCTACCCCCGGTGGTGCTTTACTAGGGGGATATGGCTCGCAGCTAGTCACACAGGGTGGTCGTAGGGTCCGTCCTGAGTATGTAAACTACGCTCGAGTAGCGAAAAAGGTAGATGTACGACGCCTGAAAGAAGTGATGTGGAAAGGAATGGGCGAGCATCTAGTAGCTTCAATGACATTCAATTCTGCCTCTCCATCTGCGGCAGTAACCACGACCACCGCTCCAGTCGAATCGGCCGATACAGCGCCGGAAACGAATGCAGAAGAAAGCTCGCCGAACGATGAACCTGAAGAACTCAAGAACAGCCTCCGCTTTACCGACGTTATGAACGGGTTGAAGCAGTCATATCCCGAACAAGCAATGCGGGATATCAGCACCTCCTATGGTTTCATCTGCCTCCTTCATTTAGCCAACGAGCAAGGTCTCGTGCTGAAAAATAGAGGCAGTATGAATGATGGCTGGGAAGGCAGGCTGGAGGAAATATATGTGACGAAGGATGCCGGAGCTGTTATAGAAGGTGATGCATAAAATGAGCGAACTGAGCGTACCGAATCCTATTTACTCATTGCACGATTTCGGCCTATATGAATGAATGCGTCCTTTCATTGGAGTTTTGTTTCTGTTCAGGGGCATTAAGCAATGTTCTATAGTTTACTTGACGGGAATTTGTAGTTAACTAAGTGGAATTTTGACGGGACGTTAACATCATTATTTAACGAAGCATTCGAAATTATGGCTTATGTTTGAATTTCAAAAAGTACTTTAATTTGAAAGGACTCTTGTGATTGTGGTTTTATTCGATTTAGCTAAACGAATTGAACTTGGCTGATACTCAATATCACATCCAGGCTCCGAAAACAGATCGAAACAGAAATCCTCGTAGAGTGCATATATTGGCCTCATACATAGTCAGCATCGCCTTCACTTCATTCCCTCCCATGCCTCGTTATAAGGCAAAATTACGCCCAAAACATCAACAAAAATTATTTGACATCAAAAAAACAACAAGACAACACAGCTCCTCATTTTTCTTGGGAGGGAGCAAGGGGTATTTGAAAAGAGAAAGAGAGGTAGATAGTTAGGAGATAGGTAAAGAGAGAGAAAAGAGCGTGAGAAGTAATGAAACGATTAGTGGCTAGGAATCATGCATAAACAGAGCAGAAGATAAGAGAAGGTATAGTGGATGGTAAATACAAAGAGTAAACGACTTTAGGACGTTAAATTTGTTTTATAAATGCGTCACCTTGAAGTGTCGCGAGTATGAGTAGCGTTGTCCGAAATCGCTATCCCAATACCAGGGGTATTGGGGAGTGTCATCCCCTGAGGAGCGAAGCTGGGACTCCTATAAGCGCCGGGGATTGGCACAGCAGCATATGATTGTTCACCTGGTGCAGCAGAAATATGCTGGTTCACTCGTTCCGCCATGCCAGGGCTGAGAGGGGGGTTGTGCATCTCAGTATGAGGCGAGTTGTGGATGCTGCTGGATGACCTAGATGGGGGAGGCTGCAGTTGGAATGGCTTATTGGTAGTGGTGACAGGAGATGGATTGGCGTATTGTGGCTTGTAGTACTCATTCATCTGTCCATTTTCAGCAGCAGAATACGGGTTTGTTGTCATCGCCGGGCTTCGTGCGAATCCAGGAGTGTTAGGGGCTGTTTGCACACGCAGGTTGGCAAGGTAGAGATCCGATCTAGCCTTGTCACGAACGTTCATAGATTTGCGTAGTTTGTGCTTGGAGTAGAAGCGATAGAAGACCACGGCATAGATGGCGACCGTAATAGTATCCACAACGACCTCTATGATAATGCAAACGAGTGTCCAATCCTATGGATACGTTAGTATATCAATTCTGTTCTAGGATTGAGCAGTGGGTGTATATTGCCATACCTGCATACGGCAAACTAGGGCATAGTCGACCAACTCTTTGAACAATGTGGATCGTAGATTGTCTTTACAAGACCATCCCCAAAGATCCTTGCCATCTCCGCTATCTTTACTGTTCTGAAGGATAGCAGCAGCTATCACCCAC